TTAAATTGTAAACATTTAAAAACACTAAACACATTATTAAAGATAAGTAGCGAAAATTCCAAGTTTTAATTTCCTACCTTTAAAAAACCGATATTCCCATACACAATTTTACCCCCTGTTTCCCTGCCTTTAAATGTGAAAATCAAAAACCCTGAACACATCAATAGTTTTTTATGGTAAGTAGCTACATTCCAATTTTTAAAAAACCTATATTCTTATACAAATTTTTACCCCCGTGTGAAAATCCAAAAACTTTAAACACGTCATTATTTCATTATTTACAATTCTAATTTTCAAGTTCCTATCTTTAAAAAAATCGATACTTCAAGAAACTTTCACCCCCTTTTCCCACCCTTAAAATGTGAAAAAGATAGGTAGGGAAAATCAAATGGGTACTTACTTTTAATTGCCAGCTCTCTATTTTCTTTATCCAGACTTTTTGTCGTTTCATAAGCCGGCAAATTTAATAAACGATTGCACATTTCCCTATTTTCCACTTGTAGCATCCTTAATATTTTTTTACCTCTGGTTGACTTTTCCTAAAATATTCAGTAGTTTAGCCATGTAATGAAAACTATAAAAAAATGCGCACTTACGAAATAATTGACAAAACAACCAGTTAAAACGTTTATTAACTGTGGCGTTCGAGACACAACTGATTAAACATCAAAACAATGAAATAGTGTAAAGTGTGTGTGACCAGAGGGCGCCACTCCATTGATTAGCAAAGGGAGTCACAATTTGGTCTAGGGCACGCAAAATAGAGACGCAATTGTAGCGTACTACACACTGATTGAATTCCCGCCACGTCTTAAAGAGTAGCGCCTTATTCTAGCAGGCAATCTACGCACTATCCGCATAGATGAAGTATGTTCAAACCGCCACATACAAAATAGAATTGCAGCCAAGTTATGACTAGTTTTGTTGTGACAACCGAATGTGTGTTGCCACAACAAAAACGTTCGCCGGAATTGAGTTTTATGCACACACAAGCTGCCACAATCAATACCATGCGAACACACACACACACACACACACACAGACACACACACACACAGACATCATCGCGAAAATAGTCAAAACGGATTCAGGGGACCTCAAAACGCAAAAATCCGTCGAAAACTCAAGGTCGAAAAAAATCATGATTCCTATACTTTCCTTACATCTGTATACAGATAGGAAAGTAAAAATATAACAGTACCAATTTTTAATTAAAAAAATCAATTTACATACGAGGGCATATAAAAATATCAAAGGTAAGTAAAGGGTACAGGAAAAGAACCGGCTAAGTCACAATTTTATAAAACCGAGAAAAACAGATTTAAAGGTTTAAAGTATAGAAACTTTTAGTATAAATAGAACTGGATGTTATTATATTTTTTTTTATTGTTTGTTAGACATTTCTAGTACAGTTTATATTGGTCGCTTATTATAATTTAGCTTTTACTTTAAACAAGGTACAGTTTTCTATGCAAACAGCACAATTGAAAGGTAAAAAAAACAGCTAAGTCCAGGACTTAGCTGTTTCTTTTCGTTTCAAAGAAAGAAGAATGAAAATAATGCTTTATTATTACAAACCACAATAACACCTTACAAACAAACTAAAAATATTTAAATCAAACATTGTTCAGTATTGAGTACAGTTAAAAAAATTATTGCTTCTCATAAGGCAATTTTGAAAAAAATGTTTGAGCTTCAGCACCACAAAAAATTTTTAATTCCTGCAGGTTTTTATACTTTGCAAAAGATATTGGAAGCAACTCTGTAAAGAATTTCCAGAATTAACATTTTAATCTAGTTTTCATGAATTTTTTAGGTTCAATTATTGAGGTAAAAATATTTTAGTTACCTTTATATGAGAGTGCAGGAAGACGAAATTCTTTTTCAGTTAGACCCTGACGATACTTGTATGATGGACCTCTAATTTCAGCAGTTTCCCAGGCTCCATTAAATGACGTTCGATAGGAAACAAGACGAGGGTGTTCACGACTAAATCTGTACTCTCTAATTGGTCGGGTTTGAAATAATGCCTTCTTTTTGTAGAAAGTCCCAAGATGCTCCGTCCATTTTCTAAACATGCTTTGACTGCATTCCAATACACGAAAAGGTGACGGTTTTACTCGAGCCTCTTTAAACACCTCTATCAAATCAGCAGGAACCTCTGTTCTAATTTTTTGATTTACCAACCCCATGTTTTTGTCGCACTCCAGATACGAGTGCCCCCGAATAGGAAAAGTTACTGTAACTGTCTGGAGCCGTTTCTCTTCATGGACCAAACTGTGTACAAATCTAAAAAACGTGAAATTTTTGTTTTGGCCGCTGCAAGAATCGCAAAATATGTTTAGCTCTTGAACGTCCGGGCTCAGGTAGTTGTATACAAAGTCATGTAACATGGAACAAACATCATCACTTCCCTTTTTAGCAATGGTTTCTGGGCATATGTAAAAAGTACTTTCAGCTGATGACAGCACATGGATATTAAAAATGTACATCGAAAGTTGCCTTTTATAGTAGACATCGTTAGTCGGTATGTTTGGAAGAGAAAGGTTCTTACCAAATTCTAGACAAATTGCTTCAATACTTTTTGATTTTGCAGCTTTTCCTATTGCTTTTCTTTTTCTTTTATAAAAAGTGGCCGCTTTTATTTTGTGTATTTTATTTTCAGTTCTTAAATCTTTAATTTTCTTCTCAATTTATATAACATCTTCGGCATTTTTCTGTTCTCGTTTCTCTGTCTCCAAGCATCTTATTTTTGCTAAAAATTCATCTCATGTACTGCATGTGTCAGTACGCGGATAGCCAAATGAAATATTAAACTCTTTAATTAATAATGATCGGTAGGTCTCATATGATACATTTTTTGAATTTTGTAGTTGACAATACATCTTGTACATTTTTCGTATATTGAGCTCTTCGGAGAGGTAAATTTTTAATGAGTCACTTGACTGTAATGACTTTGGCGTCCTGGAAATGATCGAATATGTTCACGAATAGAATCAAGATTAATTTCATTAGGTTTCCAAGGTCGATTCTTATGTAAACCTCGTTTGTCCTTTGCCATAGTTCCATCCTCTTTTAACTGTTTTACTAAAAATTCAATCTTACTTTTTGTTATCCCATGAGTCGAAATAAAAGCATTTCTACACACTTCAATATCTTCAACTAGATTATTTTCATTGACAATACGTACTCTGTATTTATAAGTAGCTTTACGAAACCTAGCATCTCTTTCAGACTTGCTTGGTCTTCTTCTCTGTACAGGAATAACATTTATTTTTCCGGATAAGTAAGTATTTTGTTCATGATGTGATTCCATCAGATTAAATTTTCTTAAGAGTTTATGACTATTGTCAAGCGAAACCCTTTCGAAACACTTTAAACGGCAGTTACAGTCTTTTCCCAAAGTATGACTTTGTAGGTTAATTTTTTTCCTGGCTGCAGTCATTCGCCCATAAACCTTACGCTTTTTAGTAGATTTCGAAGTAGTTGGAGATTCTAAGGTGCTAGAACTACTATCACTACTAAACATCATATCGTATTATTTTTAAAAAACCAAACGAAAAAAAAAACTAATCAATTAAACATGTATACACTTGTTGATCGATATCGCAGTACTGCTGCTTTCGAAAACAATAAAGTAGCCCAATCGGATTAGTATTTTAGATTCTGAAAAATTCGAAGCAGCAATTTTCCTTCGGAATTCGTTGGAGGGGGTCTCTGGTAGTCTAAATTCAAAAAGTTGGGATTTCAAAGTTGTCGTTACCTCCGCCATCTTGATTTAAAGGGTTATTTTTTGTATCTTGAATAACTCATTTATTTTCAATTTTACACGGAAAATAGTTTTTACAAAAGTTATTTAAAATTAAATTTCCTACAATTCTGCTTTTTTTTGTACGATCGATTTTTTTCGATTTATACCCGAAAAGAGGGGGTGAATTTTTGGTAATAGAATAACTCGTTTATTTTCAATTTTACGAGAAAAATTGTTATAAACAAAGTTGTTTAAAATTAAATTTCCTACAATTCTGTTTTTTTTTGTACGATCGATTTTTTTGTATTTATCCCTGAGAAGAGTGGGGGTGAACCTAAGTATTGTATTGTCACGTTTATTATTGATGTTGTACCATTATTTTTTCTGTTTGTTTTTTTTTGCTGATTTTCAAAAATGTTATTTGGTACAATTATGATTCCGATTTTTTCTAAGAGTTTACCCTCACTCTTCTCAGGAATAAATACAAAAAAATCGAGCGTACAAAAAAAAACAGAATTGTAGGAAATTTAATTTTAAACAACTTTGTTTATAACAATTTTTCTCGTAAAATTGAAAATAAACGAGTTATTCTATAACCAAAAATTCACCCTCTCTTTTCGGGTATAAATCGAAAAAAATCGATCGTACAAAAAAAAGCAGAATTGTAGGAAATTTAATTTTAAATAACATTTGTAAAAACTATTTTCCGTGTAAAATTGAAAATAAATGAGTTATTCAAGATACAAAAAATAACCCTTTAAATCAAGCTGGCGGAGGTAACGACAACTTTGGAATCCCAACTTTTTGAATTTAGACTACCACAGACCCCCTCCAACGAATTCCGAAGGAAAATTGCTGCTTCGAATTTTTCAGAATCTCAAGCCTGTTCTTCACCTAATCCGATTGGGCTAAAGGTAAATAATGCTTAGTGAATTGAGCGGCACAGCGGACTTGACCGTTTCTTTCCTATTTGCACGCGTTTTTTCCCTGTACATGATTATTAAATGACTCCTAGATCGTCACTCGGCCGTTTCTTTTCCTGTGTGGATATGTTAATAAAAAGTACGGTCTCCTTGCTATAACCTGGCAGAATATCTCACAATCGCCAAATTTTGGACTTAGCCGGTTCTTTTCCTGTGCCCTTCAAGTGATTAAACAAAAAAAATTGAAATATTTTCTTTTTAAATCATCCCCAACATCACTCGTTACAATAAATATAAGTATTTTTACTAATTTAGTAATTTTTTAGTGCATACTTCTCCGACGATGGCCTTGAATACAACGTAGGTAGAGTTCCTATAGGAGGCACCGATTTTTCCCTGAAAGGTTATTCCTACTGCGATACGCCTAATGATACCCCTGATCCTGATTTAACAAATTTTGAATTACAACCTGAAGATTTCGAATTTAAGGTAAATTAAAATAAATATGGAAAATGATCTATCAGTATTGTGTTCAGTTTGGTAGTGGGTTTAATACTATAACAAATGGGCAATAATTAGATAAATTTTAAAATAAACCGTGACATGATTTGTGTACTGTTTATCTAAAATTTGTGTATACTATTTAATAATAATACTCTACTCTCCCTAATTCATCCCCTTACGAGTGAATTTTAACCACAAAAGCTGAGCTTGTCCGGGGAAAGGGACGGCTATTATTATTATTATTTGCTCTGGGGCGACTTAAAGATGATTGATGGTGCCATTTGACTTACAGGTGAGAAAACCCCACCCACCATCATCACCGTCAAAGTCTCTCAATATTTGATATCGTATAGTACTCGAAGTACTTGTTCAAAATTCTTATTTGTAAAATTAAATCCTATGACTAGTTTTCCAAATATAACTTAATATGTACCAAATATATGAATTTTAAACAATAAATATATACTGACAATAGATATTTTCAAGAGAAATATCTTATATTAAATATTTTGATATACTGTTTTAGATTAAGAATATACCCCTTGTACTATCTTCAAAGAGACAAAAAAATCGTACTTACAGGGTGATTGCGGTTGAATATGTAAAAGAAAAAAATCAACAAAATGCTGAAATTGTTGGCAGAAAATAGAAAATAATTGCCTTTTAAGTTGCGAGTTGTTTATTAAAAAAATCTTATTAGTTTACATACAGGGTCATACATTATTGCATTACAAAAAAATTACCAAAAAACATTAATTTATGCTAGTGTGAAAAAATTGTGTTTTATGTGGTTTACACCCTATATAAAAATTAGTGAAAAAATAAAATATTTAGCTGGGACCTTAAGGGTGAGAAATTAAAAAACTAAAAAAATTCAGCGTTGTGCAACTCTTCGCTTGATTTAAAAGTCAAGGGGTTTAGGGCAGCTACAAGATAATAATACCAGTTTTGAATGTTAAATCAACCCAGAACTCACCACGAGGAGGTGGCCGCACTTCGAGTTCCATCCACCTACCCATTTTTCCATTTATCTCAATATATCTTACTTATTTATATAAAGAGATCATTACATTTTTGGCAAGTCTTTTTTGGCATCAAGTTTAGCACGTATGTACGTAGAATTTTCACAACAACCAATTCTCTTTTCTCTTTTTTCTCATAACTTGGAAAAATATAACAATAATAGCAATTACAAAGGACAACTGAATTTATTACAAACACTAAAGATATAAATTCAGATACTTTGTAAGGTATATAAGAAAACAAAAGTCAAATATTAAATTAAAAGAATAGCCTGAACTAAAGATAAACGACCAAATGACTGACGTAACTGAACCAAGACGTTAACGTTAAGTAGTAGGTGCAAATACGAGATGGTAAACCAATTAATTTTCTTCTACTATGGGACCGAGATCGATATTTTCTGGAAATAATCGGTCTGCTGCACCATCGATGCTATTTAGTAAACGTGTTGTTGGACATCTTATATTATTCTGGTGCCTTGCATAACCAAGAAACCATAACACTGATGCAACATGTGCGCAAAAGTACTTAAAGTTCTCGAACCGCATGGACATGTACAATAATAGTAGAAAATTGGATCAATATTTTCATTAAGTTCCTCTTCGTATGCAAACCACAGCATATATTTAGTTGCGTTTCTGAACTTAGAATAAATTCTAAAACGTAAAAAATTATTCTCTTCTCTGAACTCGTCTATTTCTAAAACATTAATTTCCTCCTCTCTTAGCAGTTTATCTTGAATATATGATGGACTTAAATAAATAGATGGACTTAAATAGGAAATTGATCACTGCGCGAGGAAATTCAGGAATATGCATGTCGTTCAATCTTCGCCACCGACCATAACTGGTAGTCAGATTTTGGGCTTCGACGCGTGCTTGTATAATATTAACGTCATCTAGTTTGTTTAAAATTTCAACTGCTATGTCCATTGTACCTGGTAGGTTTATAAGAGGATAAAACTTATTTAACAACGCACCTGCAATCTGATAAAAACCACTCAAATTAACTGCATGATGCGTGGATATGCGGCCTTTAAACAATTTAAAAATGGATTTAAAATGTCCATTTCTGGCTTCTACAACCCAACGAGTTTTAGTTATTAGTCTCGCTCTATTAGCTTGACTTAATAATTGCCGTTGGTTTTGATGAAGCAAAGGTGGCATATAAGTAATTAACCCAAGTTCTTCTAATCTAGGAATAACATCTCTGTAGCCTCTATCTACTATTACTATATCTCCTTCTGTAATCCAGTTTCTAAATTCATTATTATCATTAACCAATTATTGCCGTAAGATTGCCGCATCATTATTAGATGCATCAGAAAAATAGGGACCATTGATTGATAAAATATATCCGTCAGGAGCTACTGTAATTTCTGGCTTAACTAAATGTTCCTTCTTAAAATAGCAATAGGACTGACGTAATATTCTAAAATTACTACTTTTTTCAATTGAATTATATGTACAATCGACATAAAATATGGCCTTTGGAATATTTGCTATAGGGTTGTGAAGCGCCTTTACGAATTCAGGGACATGATTTATGATATATATTTCTCTGGTTATTGATCTAAATCCAATATTACTAGGTACAAATCTTTGAAGCAGGGACATACGGACATTAGATATGACTATACTAGTGACTTGTCGGGATGAATAATTAAAAAGTAATTTTATGAACTCATCTGACAATCCATGTCTTAGTTTAACAAGGAAAGCAAGTAAATCTTTTTGAGCAATGCTTCTTAAGTTACCATATTGTTCTATTGGTTCACAAAATTTATATAATTCTTGAAAATTCTCTTTAGAAATTGAAGTTAAATATTTAAATTCTTCTAAACTAAAAGTATTTATGTCTTCTCAATTTTTTAAATTATTATTAGCATTAGCAGCCGCTCTTAAACTAGACAAAAATTGCTGAATATTAACGTGGAATAATGGTCTATAAACAAAACGCAAACTAGCATGTAAATTAATCATTAGTAAACCCGAATGATTTAGATGAATGTAACAAATCTTCAGATATTCGGGTACATAAATATTTGAGACTAAAAAAATATTTGCTCTGCATACTGCCGATAGTTTTCTTACATGAGTGGGGTGTTAAAACATTAAGTCTTAGGCAATTTGGATCATCCAACCCAGGTGTTTTCGAAATAATCCATTACCGCTTGTGCTCCTGGAATTCACGAACCACATCTGCTGTAGGAATAAATGCTATTGCGGCTAATAACCGCATTTTCAGAGCAAAATCTGCGTCTGCTTCGTATCTCTGTTTAATGCATTCGAATTGAATCTTACTGTTTATGCATTGTGAAAAATGTCTGGACTGAGGGAATTTTTTAGTAATAGCGCTTATCATTCCAGTTTTAAAATCAGTCATAATTGGTGATGGTGTAACTCCTGTGAGAAGTTCTTTTATTTTGTTAATGAAGGTAACTCTAGTTTTATTCGGTAGCAAAGCGTAACCCATGTAGTGTATAAAGCTGACAGAACAGGTACGGTACAGTTTTTAACGTTCCATCGTACCAGTGGTCAGCCTGACCTAGAAGTTGGAGATTTTTCCTCGTACAAAATATCAATATCCGGTCCTCATAAGTCTTGAATAACACATCAAAAACTCTTTTCCGTTTTTTGTAATATTTTATATTCTTCGGTCAAAACAATATCGCTGCGTCGAATAGGCAACGCTGGGGCAACCTGATCCCTGATTCGTAAATTGCGTATTTTTCTTTTTATGTTGCTTACCTTCCCAAGCCTACTTGCTGCTGCCTGGCTGACTGCAAAAGTTGCATTTGATATGATGTAATATGGTCATCTGTGTAGAATCTTCTTTTAACTAGTGGGGAGCAATTGTGAAGAATGTAATTTATTGCAATTAGGAAAATGTGGTGCTAATTGTTGATCCTTGTGGTATTCCATTTGTTTGAAGCTTTTTTGATGATAAAACATTGTCTGTGCGTACTTGTTCCAAGTTAATTGTTTACAAAATATAATACGTTTCCTCTCAGGCCCCATTTGTGGAGTTTTAAGATAATGTCGTGCCGCCAAACTGTGTCATAAGCTTTCGTTATGTCAATAAAGACTGAAATGCATTCTTGTTTATTGGCAAAAGCCTCGTGTATCCATGTCTTTAAGTCTATTAAATTATCAGCAGTACATCTATTCTAGCGGAAACCACTTTGCTCAGGAAGGAGTAATGTTTGTTGCTCTAAGTGCCACAGGAGTCTTCTATTTACCATTTTTCCAAGATTTTACACATAACATTGGTTACAGAGGTTGATATGTATGATTCTGGTTTCGTTCTGGATTTCTCAGGTTTTAACAGTGGTATTATTATAGAATCACGCCAGTTTGACGGAAATACATTTTTTGTCCACACAAAATTAAAAATCTTTAGTAATTGTTCTTTCGCAATTTCCGGTAATTTATGTATAAAAATTGAAGAAACTTTATCGGGACCTAGAGCAGAATTCTTTGTCACAGAGCGTCGTTCAATTCTTCTTTTGAGACGATATAGTTGATTGGGTTGTTTAAAGCATCGTTGTAATCTAACTGTTCTTGTTCTTAGAGGTTTTTTATTTCTAGAAAATTCTGGGTGTAGCTACAATTGCCAGAGTTGATTTCGTAGAGTGATGCAAAAACTTCTGTTATCTTTTCTCGGTTTATTACTATTTTGTTGTTTTGTGCTCTGAATGGTATTTTATTAGTGTGTTTGATTCCTGATATTTTCCTTATCTTTGCCAAACAGAAGATGTAGCTGTTGAACTATTTATGGATGCAACAAGGTTTTGTCATGATTATTTTCTACTATTTTTCATGATATATCTAGCTGCAGCCCTGCGTTTCTTGTACTTAATTAAATTATCACCCGTTTTGTTTCGTTTGTACCTATTAAATGCCGATTTATAAGATCTTATAGATTTTTGGCATTCGTCGTTCCACCAAGGCAGAGGGGTA